GCGCACCACCGCTTAAACCGACATCTGGGAAGATTTCAATTACATCTTTGACATTAATTCCGGAACGTTGTGCGCCAAACTTGACGGATGGCATGGTTGTAGTTGTGGTTGTGGTTGATTCTGCCATTGGCATTTGATGCACTTCCGCCGTAATTCTGATTTCGCTCAGACGGGCAGGTGAGTGCGAAGCACGCAGGGCACCGGATATTGCGTTTCCTGGCCTATCATCTCTGGTGTTCGCCTCAGCCGACTCCTCCATGGGCTGTCGCAACTGAACACTGCCCTCCGGCAACTGCTCCAACTGATCCACAAACTCCTGCTCATCATCCGGTTGCTGCGGCTCCTGTTTCAGGCAGCAGACCAGCATTAAACACTTGATGAAAATCCGCATATTCGCTGCATTTTAGCTGGCTCGTCGTTGGCCACTGCTCTACAGGTCTGGCATTGGAGCTTGTGCCTCTCATGCGCCACAACTTTATTGGACCTTAGCCCAAGCTCAGTACAAGTCAGCGGAGTGTGCGAGAAATGCAGCTGTTTGTTTATCGACACATAATGCAGCTAACAATTGGCAAACTTTGAAGAGAATTCGAGAAACATACTACAACGAGAGAATGTTGAACACAACCAAGAAGAGAATAAGAACCTCTACAAGTACATCAGCCAGTCAGTATTATAAACTTTTCTTGATGCCAACAGTCGGTTCGTTCTGTTCATTTTCTCATCAATTACAATCAATTTCTAGTTCATTAGTATTAAGCATTCTATACACATCACTTTTCCAAATCACAATTCTAGGCGTTATTTTTGTAGAGAATACGTTACGTTTACAAAGGTCTTAAAAATTTAGGTCTATTTTTACAGTTTCTAGAGTTCATTTTTCAGAAAAAGCATACATATGTACCTTGTAGTGCATTTTAGAAAGCAATTGATTCGAGGTCGAGCCACCAGAAGAGCATCTTGCAACCTATCTAGTCTATACTCTTGAGTTATATTTTATAATTAATTTGAATTCTTACATTCTGTAATAATAAATATATAATAAATTTTTTAAAATTAATTTGAATTCTTCCATTCTAATGGGTGTATATATATATATAAATATATCTATAATACTAACGTTTCATGTTTAATGTTTTCCTTTAAATAAAAGTAGTAACACAGTACGGGCTTTATTTCATTGTTTAACATAAAAAGCTGCATACACAATTGTATAACATTTTAGAGATATTAGCGTACATGAACTTTTAAAAATATAAGTTAATAATGTTTCAACAAAATACCATAAATATTGTACATAGAAGTATATTCAAATAATTGTTCACTCAATCCTTTGTCGTCACATTGTGGTGAACATACCAGAAAGATGTTTTCGAAAATACGGATTAAGCTATAATTTTGTATATAGATTATGGTCTTAGGTTGCGTAACAATTTCGATATGTATGTATTATTATAATTATTATTTGAATATGTTGTGGATTTAAAATGCCTCTTTTCGCATTTCTTCGAACCAACAATGTAAATATGATATTGATATCTGTTTTCTTTATCACTCGTTTAGGGACAGTGTCTCGCATAAACTATCCTTTTTGTTAATATTCGATTCAATATCTAAGGAAAATTTATTGATTCTTAAATGGAATCGAATTGAAAATCTGTTGTCCTCTGCCTACCAAATCCAACTTCTCATCATTACCAACATCTTGCGCCTTAGCCTATAGTGTGTGTGTTTGGTAATGAAATCGAGGGTTGTTTTTGTACTGTTTTTTGTTGTTGTTGTTGTTGTTATTGTTGTTTTTGGTCTTTGGCGAACAAAAGTATGCAACGCACACAGCGTTTTTTTTTTGGAGTACATTCTGCGCAGTTGTTGTTATTGTTGTAATTGTGTAATGTTAGATGTCTGTCTGTCTATTTGTCCATGTGGCAATGTAAGTTTATATGCATACATGTGCATAAATGTGTGTGTGGTTGTGTATGTGTGTGTGTGTGTGTGTGTGCGGTGTGTTGTCCGGGACACATTGCGGTTTCACTTGCTGGGTGATTTGTACATGACCGAAAAACGAGCAAGCAGGTCTTTCTGTCTGCTTGTCTGTGTCTCTCTGTTTATGGCTATTTGTTTATATACATATGTTTGTGTGTGTGTGTCTGTATATGTATATTAGATTGTGTTTGTGTACTAGTGCGTTTTAGGGTTTTTGACTTTGGTCGACTGGCAGGCCAAGCGCAAAACCACAAAACAGACGCAAACCCCCACACGCCAAAAAGGAAAACTGTGCGCTATTTTCAATTTGTAAAGCATACTTTCCAGCGTCGCCCCTTTTGCAATATTTTCAGCACTAACAACTACTCTGTCGGTCAGCACCGCACACCAGCCAGCTCGAAAATCTCATTTACTCACTTTAATGTTTCTTTCCGCTGCTATGGCGGCCGTTATGGTTGCTCTGCTGGACTGTACTGTTCTGCACTGTCCTGTCCTGTTCTGCTCTGTTCTGTTCTGTTCTGTTGTGTTTCGTTCTGCTCTATTCTGTGTTAAGATGTCTCTTCCAAAACGCCAAAACGAACCCAATCCAATTCAATTCAAGACAGGAACCCATTCATATTTGTTTTCTTTCTATATTATTTTCAGTCCTGTTATCGTGGCCATGTTGTTGGCTTCAAGTCTTCTTCCGGGCCGCTCTTGTTTTTGTTGCCATCAGTATGGTTGTGGCTGCGGCTGCGGCTGTGACTGTGGCTGTAGCTGTAGCTGCTGTTACTGCCATTGCTTTGTGGTCATGCCCACTTGATGCGTATTTAATTAACGTTAATTGAAATTGATTTATGCATGCAGCGTGCGTACACCAGGCCCGGCCCGGCCCGGTCTGGCTCGGCCCAGTCCGCCCTCTTTCTGGCCCTTTGACTCACTCTTTTGCAATGGCTGAGAGCAAAAAATATTTCGGTTGTTGTCGTCGTTACGGTTACGCACCGCTGACTACGGATTCGATGGTGATGGTGAGAGCAGAAGAGCTGGAGAGCAGTCAGGACGGTTGGGGTACTTGACTGCTGGCAGCTCCCCATAACTGATGAAATTTTCGGCATATTGAAGCATGAAAAATTTGCGGCTTCATTAAATTGATTAAACAAAATCAAAATAATTTTGTTGCCCCTTTTCGCTTTGCCTCCGGGTTTCAATTTGTGCGCGCTATTTGTTTTGGCCTGTTCGCAGCTTCACCCACTTCACCCTCTCCACTTGCCACTCGAGTGTCGCTCGGCAGCGATTTATTATGACAATTGCAACAAAAAGGACATTAGAGAAATTATGTGCCACGAATTGGATATTTTTTGAAAGGTACAACAGCCTTTTATTCATAATGAAATTAAGGGCTTATGTGCAATGAACAATAATTTATACAAATAATTGCTTATACGGAAGCAAGCCTTTACAAACAAAGCGCTGCCTAAATATACTTTGACGCTAAGGGTACAATACTGCACATGATCGATCTACAAATATGTATTGTTTGCCAGTATTTAAAAAAACGGTGCTATATTTTTTAGACTACAATTAAGAAGTATAGAAGACGCAAAATAGCATTGAAAATATGTCAATTATTGCTCATTTTCCCCTCGACATTTGGCGTATCTTGGAGTACTTTTTAATTCAAAATTGAACTTCAATCTTCACATATCTACTACTACTAATGTTAATAATAAGTAAAGAGGACGAAGGGTGTTCTTGGACTCATTAATTGTTGCCTCAAAGGATGTCCTGTGCTGGATCTTCTCTTAAAATGATGAATCACTGATTAAACATTTAGACATCATTTTGAATAAATCAGAGAAATATACTTTGGAAAGAATAGTTACAATCGTTTCGAATGCATTCTTCAATATACTATATGTATACGTACTACTTGGAGAGCCTTGTTGCAGTTCTGGCAGTCGTCATCCAATATTTGGTTCTCTTTTGAATTTTTGCGCCCTATTTTCAATGCAAAACTAATCAAATCAGCAAACAACGTGCAACAACATAAAATTAACGGCCAAAAGTGTGCAATGCGTTTGCGAAATTTCCACATCATTAAGTTTTTTCATGGCGCAAACCAAACGAAACTTGCGCAATTCGCGCACTCGCATCAACAAAGAACATTAAACGAACACATGCACATCCACGAGCGCACAAGTGTGTGTGTGTGTGTATGTGTGTGAGCGTGGATTTGAGTGTATATTCGTTCGTATATAATGGTTTTTCTCAGCTCGTTCTGTGCCTTTTATGTTTATTTAATTAGAAAGCAGAGGCATTCTAACTTTTGCTTGCTACAAATATTTTATTGCATAATTTTAGGTGCACATGTGCGTGTGTGTAGCTGTGTAGCTGTGTGTGTGTGGGTGTGTGTGTTAGCAACGTAATCGAAACGGCAGATCCCACATTAGACGTAAGCTTTATGGTCGCACAATCAGCGCAAAAAGCAGCAACAATAATAAAAACAAAAGAAACAAAAAAGAAAATAACAAATCCATCATAAACATTGAACAGCAGTCGACCAGACTCGATCCCGGCCGCCCCAGCTCTCCGGCCACCTGCCTGCCCGTACGTCTTGACATCGTCGTCTGCCTCGTAAATTAGAAATGGCATTTTATGCGTGCGCAAATAAATGTTTGTACAATACACGAGAGCACACACTTTTAGGCAGTCTCTTGTGGCACATGTGTTGGGGCACTAAGGGGGTTGGCGGCTGCTGGCTGCTGGGTGCTGGGTGCTGGTCGGGGGAGGTGTGGGTCCAATATGAAATTTCATTTGATTTTCAACAGAAGCGAATATTTGTATTTCTCTCACTCGTGTGCACTTTGTGTTTTTGCCTCCATTGCCTCCGTCCCGCCATCGTCAGGCCATGTAGGGCAATAAAGTTGCGCATACGACCTGTTAACCGTTTTTACGACATTTGTCATTTTTGTTGCCTTCCATTCTCACATTTCGCATTACCCGTACTCACGCACCTCTCTTTTATTTTATTCTCTTTGCAGGTAAGCGGAAGACACACAACTGACGGAATTCAAAAACTGACAGCCAAGTTCTTAGCTGGTGATGCGATTCCAAAATGGTTTGTTGTGGCCCATAAGTTGTTATCTCTGATTATTCTATATGGCTTGCGAAACGGCCAATACAGTGTTTATTGAGCGGAATTAAAGATCTGTAATTTGTTTATTTCGAGCCGAAACCTCTTCCCCATTGAAATTTCTATATATTTCTATAGCATGTGCTGCTTTGGCTAATATTTGTACACCGCTTGGGGCAATTAGTCGACTATCAAATACACATTAGAAAACGTGTGTTTGAATGTAAATTTAAATACTCTCCTCCTTTTTTGAAGTCGGTTAAAAACAAAAACCAAACATAACCATATTTTCCATTTTATTTTCAGTGTTTCAGCAAAGGGATAATTTTAATTTTATTTAAAGTAATTCTTACGTCAGTGATAGATTTTGGGACGCATGTTCTTTTAATAATTATTATTGAATAATAATTTAAAAAAGTCGATGGTAAAGATTTGTAAACAATGAAGATGTTATGCCTGCGGTAGAAAGTCTGACGTCCCTCGCTATTTATAGAATATCGAAGCTATTACGCATTTTTGTTGTTGTTTTGAGCCAAGAGGGGAGAGAAATAATTACGTCCAGCATTTTTGGGACTACTACAAGACTAGCAATGTTTCTAATTAATTTTACATAAGATATCTAAAAGGTTGAAAAACTCAAGTCCCTTCGTAAAGCACAATAGAAGCTGAAGACACAAAACTTTGAGAGAAAATGCTTCTGAAGTTTAATCATTTGAATAATATTTAATAATCGGTCAAAAACTAAATTAGTTCTTGAATTCAGTTGTCTAGAAATCTGCAGACTGTATAGCCATATATGTAGGAATCTTTAGTTAGTACAGGGTAGTAAAAATCTACACCACATGCCGTCGCATTAATCAATAGGCTATTACATTTATTCTTCATGTTAATAAAATTAAAGTAAAGTTTATTTACGTCTTCTTCCCAAACGTCTTCTCGCTTCCAAAGTCAAACTCTTATAGCTCAACAGATATATTCTCTTAGCCCACCCTGGACTGCCCATGGCGATAGTTCGTTAATAAGAAAGGAATTCTTGTAATTGAATTAGATTACTAATGCCTTTAAATGCCATTAAATGATATGCCTTTAATCTTTTTACTTCCCGACACTACCTTCGACGAATAGCATCTATTAACAGCATTGTAGTTTTCCAAAATCATGCCTAAATCCATGAATTGCTTAATCATGCATAAAATTCTAGTTAAAAGTCTTTTCGCCTAAGCTTAGAGAGTAACTTCGTAATCCCTGTGCTGCCATAAGATCTAGACAAAATGATATTTCCAAATGAGCTGGCAGCCCCAAAGCGACTCCAATGCCAGTCACCCACCAACCATTAGGCGTACCTGCCAGGCAGACACTTTAATTGAAATTTGAGCCTAAACTTGGTAGGCGCCCTCACGTTGCCATCAAACTGGGTTTTTAATCAAAATCGTGTTCTATAACATGCAGTACAAAATCAAATGCCTCGTCGTCCGTACCTCCGCCCGTCCGCCCGTCCGACCAACCCACCAACTGACTGGCAAGGAATTTTCCTAATTATGCGTTACCTGCACGTACGTGCGATGCGCAACGTCGGCGCCATGAGATTTACAACAGCGTGCCGCCACCATGGAGCTCCTTTGTTATGCTCTTCCAAGTCAATGGACCACATGAAAAAAACAAAAAACAAAAAAAAAACAGAACTCAACTGAAAAAAGGAAACGTATCCAAAAATTCAAATGTGAGCACAATGCGCTGAAAACAATAGGAAACACAGACCACACCAGACCAGACCAGATCCGACCCGACCCGACCCGATCCGACTACACACTACACTGCTCACCATCTGAAAAAACACCCCACCCTCACATGCAGACCCCCTATCCCACGACTTACACTTAAACAGCATTGCTGTGATTAACAATTACAAAACAGCAGCAAAACATTCTACAACACACAGCCACATCCCAACCCCAACCCCACAGCACCCCAGCACACCCACACCCACATCCCCTACCGTGCCATCTCATGAGCGTGCCAGGGTGTGGGGCGTGGGGTGTAGGGTGGAGTGGAATGGTAGTCTGGGGGTGTTGGGGGCGGCGCGGGCTTGCTACGTGCGTTGCCATAAGCGATTTAGCTAATTTTCTACAACGACTAACGCAGAGTAATCGAAGCGTAAGATAACAAAAACAGTTTGCTGCAACGACATGACCACGCCCCCTGCCCCTGCCCCCTGCCCATCTGCCCACCACCCATCGCAACCACTGGCCTTGCTTTTGTTGTTTTTATATTCTATTGTTTTTGTTCTTTTCGTGTCTTTTTGTTCGCTGCGGCTTTTGGAATTTTTTCTCGTTTTTTTGTTGTATTTGTTTTGCTTTTTGTGTTGCATTTAGTTATGTTATTAACATTGTTGTCGTTTTTGTGGTTTTCCTAAAAAGGTAACTTTGTTTAATTTTTTACAACATTTTTCCCCCCATTTTGTAGCTTTAGTTGGCAACCAAAACGGCATTTTGTATAAATAGAGTCAATCTGGCAAAAGCATACCTCTGCTGAAGCTATTCAAATATTATGTGAGATTGTATGACAAATTATTTATAGTATTATTTATTTAGAGTAATTATTATTGCAATTGATAAAAAGGATTGCATTCCAGATTGAAGGCGCAACAGCTCTATTGTAATAATTGCAATTTCTGATTGGATTTATTTGATTTATTTATTTTATTTATTCATTTCATAGACAAACAATTCTGTCGATGAAAAAAAAATCTATACAATAGAGAGCTTAGACTAAATAAAACTAAAGAAATAAAAATGCCTATAAAAATGGAAAAAATATCTAATAACGAATCCGTAACGGTGGGGGAATTTCATTTGCCAGCATTCACAGCAGAGAATAATCAGATATGTTATTATTATTACTAACAACAAAGAAGTGGACATGAAAAAATAGCAATAAAAGATAAAAGAAAAAAATTAAAATTAAAATACTTAAATAATAAAAGATAAAAAAAATTAATTATTTTGTTAAAATAAAATAAATAAATAAAAAATAATTAAAGGCTGACCCGTTGGGGGGAAATTTATTAGACAGTCCGGCACGCTATGTATAAGAAGTATAAAGAAGTTAATATTTATCACTCAAAGTATATATCAAATATATATTTTAGGCTTTTGTTTCGATTGTGAATGTATGAATTATGCATTTTATTAGAAGGCCTCTTAAATGTACATATATCTTAGTATCCTAGGCTATACTAGCTTAGTGAAAATGTATGTAACACTCAGAAGGAGGCATGGCAGATACCCCACAATAAATATATTCTTAATCTGTACGATAAGAGGAGTCGATCCCCCCTTTCAACTCTGTACTGCAGACATAATCCGGATGTAAACTTATGATAATGGAACTGTAAATAACCGCTCCATGACTCGTGTTCTTTTTTCTCCGTTCTTTATTAATTGGGGGTAAGAAAATATGGAATCAATTGCATCCCTAAATTGTACAACAAATAACAATTGTGGTCAGACTTCAAGACTTATTCAGGCTCTCAGTACACAACTGATTTGCTTTAAATTCTTCAGACAAGTACGAGTATTCTTCAACTTCAACTTCCTCCTTCGTCTTCCCATTTTTGTTACAGTTCATAATTTTCCACTGCTCCGCTTACTGCATTCTGCAGAGTCAGCAGCAATAGTGGGGCACTACATAAAAATAACAATAACTGTAATACACTTATGATAATAATAATAATAACAATAACAAACAACGCTCCTTCGCTCTCTCTCTCTCTCTCTATTTAGGTATAAAGCAAGCGCCACTTGGCCAAGAAACAAAACCAACAACAAGAACAAAAACAACAAGTGCACAGGCAGCAGAAAAGTAACTTTGCATAGAGACAGAAAAAGCGATTCGACTAATAACCGTTTGTTTTTATAGCGCAGCACAACAAAAAGGGGGTCGACCAGTCGGCCAGGGGATGCCGACTTGGATTCTTTCTGATGCCGTGCCAGGCTTAGAGGTGTTTCAAAATCAAGTTTCGGTTTCTTCGTCTCTGTTGCCCAGCCGAAGGCGTTTGATTGAATTTTTTAAAACGTTTTGAAGAGCCTCAATCTGGCGGTTGCTCGGCTACACAGCAACAAAAATAAAAAGAAAATATATTTTAAGCCCCGTACCTGCTACTGCATTTGCCAAAAAAAAGTTCAATAATATCGTGAATCAGTTTGTAGATAATATCTACATATATCGTATGAATTACTTTTTTTTTTTTTTTGAGAGAGAGAATTTGTATATTAAATGACTTTTCACATTGGTTATAGTATGCCTGTATGTTCTCAAACTATTTCAAAATGGGGTCTCCTTTAAAAATAAGTGTATATTAGAGCTGGCCATAGGTCGTATTTTCGTTCGAAATGCACAACAAAATGTATTAAAAAATGGCGAATGAATAATTTAGCCACTAAAATAAAATTATGCATATCAAGATAGTCTTAACATATTGGAAAAAAGAAAATCGCTTGTCATTTCTAACCTGCAACCAGTCTTAGATGATCGAGAAATTAAAATCAATAATAGCTCCTAATAGAAATTATAATAATATAATTTTAAAACCTATTATCAACTATATAAGTATGTAGGCAGTTCTTCTGAGCGGTTAGTCAATAAACTACAAATAGTTCGTTCATTTATGGCAGATATAGAATTAAAAAATTAAAAATTTTTTCCTGTTCTGCAAGGTTAATTTTGTGGCCCATCTCTAGTATATATACGTATTAATCAGCGACTCAAAACGGAAACAGAATACATTTTGCTTCAACCTATGTTTACCGACGGACTTATTTAATGAATGAATCGAAAATAAATTGAATATAATGTATATAAAAAGCATCACGAGACGAATCTAAATCTATCCCTAAATTAGAGTTTTTGTGTCAAATAACTGACAATTTTATGGGAGCCCAATTGCTAAATGAGAATGGTGAGTTAGACGTTTATTGTAAGACACA